TTCAAAATCCTGTCTAGGAACGCGGTTTGCAAGTGTGCCGCCGTGCCTCTCCTGAGAGGGACCAGCTCCACCCATTCCGAGAAAGCGTCATGGAATACCAGTAACATGGTGTTGCCATGGTTCGACCGTGGAAGAGGCCCGGCGAAATCCGCGCATAGTACTGCCATCGGTTCTGCCACTTGCCTAGTCAGCATATATCCAGCCGGTTTGATTTGCTCGTTCTTGAACTTTTGGCAAGTTTCGCAACACTTCACGTACTTCGCGGCGTCACGGAACATACCCGGCCACTAGTATCTTTGGGCTAGCCTCGACACTGTTTTCCTCACGCCTTCATGACCGGCAGTGGGAGCATAATGGCATTCCGCCAATACCCTCTGCCGTTGACCGCTGGCCACACATAGCTTCCAGGGAATGTAATCTTCGTCGTCCGTCCGGTGGCCCAAATGCCTATATAGTTGCCCATTCTCTTCTATGTAGTCCGGGAACTTGGCCGGCTCCTCGGCGAGTCTAGCACGCATACTCGCGACCCAACTGCAGGGCGACTCGTCTACCACTGCTTGTTGACAAGTCTCTAGAGGATGTCTTGATAGTGCGTCGGCCACGACGTTGAGCTTTCCTCGACGGTAGTGGATGTCGAATTGGAACTGATATAGCTCCAGTGCCCATCGCGCGATCCTGCCTGAAGGGCTCTCGATCGAATTGATCCACTTAAGTGCCAGGTGATTCGTTATCACGTCGAAACGGTACCCTTCTAGGTAGCAACGCAGCTTTCGTACCGAGCAAACGATTGCCAGGCACTCTTTCTCGGTGGCGGAATAGTTCACTTCGGCCTTCAGCAACTTTCTACTCGCGTACGCTATAACCTGCTCCTGCCCTTCTATCGTCTGCGTCAGCACTGCGCCGAGGCCGTACACGCTCGCGTCAGTCTGTAGGACGAATCTGGCGGAAAAGTCTGGACACGCCAACACAGGGGCAGTCGTCAAGCTATCCTTTAATTGACACAATGCCTCCTCCTGTTCTTCATCTCATGCCAATTTCCGCCCCTTCTTAAAGAGCGCTGTAAGCAGCTGTACCTGAGTCGCGAAGGGAACGAAGCGCCTGTACCATGACGCCATCCCGAGACACTGCCGCAACTCCTTACAATTTATTGGGGCCCTCAGGTTACGTATCGCTTCCACATTCTCTCTACGTATTCCTTCCCCACAAATGACATGTCCTAGGTAGACCAACCTCTCCCGGAAGAAACTGCACTTCTTCCTATTCAGCCTGATATTAGCCGCCCTTAAACGGCGGAACACCTTCGCCAAGTTCTCTACATGTTGGTCTTTCGTTGCCCCTATTACCACGATATCGTCTAGGTAAGCGAAAGCATGAGGCTCCAATTCCGGCCCTATGACCGGGCATCACCCACCATTGGAAAAGGCCTCTCCCGGGGAACGTGAAGGTCGTACATTTCCGTCTATCTGCTGCCATCGGTATCTGCCAGTACCTGTGCTTCATCCAGAGTGGAGATGAAACGGGCGTGACGCAACCGCTCAAGGATGTGAATAATCCTGGGAACAGAATAAGCATCTGGGTTGGAATGCGCGTTGAGTTGCCGGTAATCGATGTACAAGCGCCATTCGCCAGTCTTCTTTTGGACTAAGACGATTGGGTCGCTGTGCGGACTACGCGACGGCTCGATGGCACCTGCCCGGGACAGTTCATCTACCTGTTCGTCAATCACCCTCTGCATGGCCGGGTTCTTCGGGTAATATCGCTCTTTTAATGGCTTGTCACCCTTTAGCCAGATCCTGTGCTCCGCGATATGCGAGACTCCCCGCAGCCCCTCGAAGAGTGCCAGTTCCGACTCCAGGAACTCCCTAGGTTCCGGATCCAGATCCGCTGGCCACTCGGCCTATTCGGTGATGGGCTCGCTCCGCGTCTCGCCTCCTCCGCGCAACACTCCAACCCCTGGCAGTCGCGCCTGATCACCTGTGTCCGCATGAATTCTAGCCATTGCTCCTAGTCCCTCCATTATCTGGCACCTTTCCGTGCCGTCTTCATGACCAGCGTAGACCTGTCGCAGAAAGTCTACCTGCCGCCTTTTGGACTCTTTAAGCACTTGGTTCAACGTTCCCTTCAACGTTCCCTTCCTGGTTCCTCTTTTCATAGGTTGCCGGGCAGGTGCTCCCCCTTCCTGACCTGGGAGGCCTTCCTCCGGTTCCCTCTTGGTATTCTCTTGCTGTTGCCGAGCAGGTGCTCCCCTTTCATGACCTGGGAGGCCTTCCTTCGGTTCCTTCCTGGTATTCTCTCTCTGTTGCCGAGCAGGTGCTCCCCTTTCATGACCTGGGAGGCCTTCCATCGGTTCCTTCTTGGTATCCTCTCTCTGTTGCCGAGCAGGTGCTCCCCTTTCATGACCTGGGAGGCCGTCCTTCGGTTCCTTCTTGATATCCTCTTTCTGTTGCCGAGGAGGTGCTTCCCTTCCATGACCTGGGAGGCCTTCCTTCAGTACCTTATCCTCTCTCTGTTGCCGAGCAGGTGCTCCCCTTTCCTGACCTGGAAGGCCTTCCTTCGGTTCCTTCTTCATCTCTTCTGCCATCGGTTGCCGAGCAGGCATTCCCGCTACTTGGTTCGAGAGGCCTTCTTTCGGCTCTTTCTTGGTTCCAGGCCACGCGGCCGGAGACGTCTCCGCCTCTTATAGTGCCCATCGCACCCAAGATCCTCAAGGCCTTCCCTACTTCGAGCGTGGACCCATCTGCCAGACGAATGCGCGCCTATACGTTCACCACTCCCCCAGAATCGCCCACTTATGTACGCAGTCTTCACTCATGAAGCTGCGAGTGGTCCCTGTGTCGATAGTAGCAGGCATCGCCCGCCCGCCAATCTCCACCGTGGCGACGATTCGGCCACCCTCCACCTTAAGCGGGGGTACTACCACCGAGTCACGTGTGTGTTGGCGTCGACCCAACCCTGACCTGGGCGACGCCGTTGCCCGTTTCCCGCCTCCGTGTGGCGACAACAATTCTGGCTACTTCTGCTCCGGTGTCCACATACCCACATACGGATCATACCCGGTTCCGTAATCTTGGTTCATCATTCGGTGGGCCACTTCCGCAGGGGACGTTGCCGGCGGGGCGGAGGCTTGTCTATCCACAACGATCGCTCCGGATCCGATGGGAGTAGACCGGAATGGGTTAAGGTGTCTCCCAGGGAGCTGTACCGTCCTTTTCCACTCCGCGCTGACCATGACCCTGACCTGACACCTGACTCCCTGCCCTGCTTCCGGAGTATTCCGCTCGCTGTCTCATCACCGTTTCGTACTTCACAGCGAGCTGAGTCAGCTGGGACATGGTAGAAAAATCTTGCCGACGCACGTACAGTTTGTATTCAGGAGCGGCGTTTTCATAGATCCGGTGTAACTCCTGCGCCGGTTCGTATCTGGCGTGATGCATTAGAGCTCTCAGCTCTAACAGGTACTCCTTGAATTCCTCCCCCATTTCGTCCTCAAACCTTTCGAAGTAGCGTGGGGGCAGGAAGAACTCCAATAAGCCCATTCTGAACATCGACCATGACACATCTCTAAGCCCACTGCTCAAGAACCACCGAGCGGCCCAGTCTCAGAAACTTGCTCATTACCCGGGGCAATCTATCGAGGGCGATACCATACGTAATGGCTCGTTCCTCAAGGTCCTCCAAGAACCCGAAGCGGTCGGAGCGGCCATCGTATCTCGTGCCCCGCTTCCGAACTTGTTCCGGAACGTTTGAGACAGGCCTAACCTCCGGCCGAGAATATGGTTGGGGAGCGTAAGGGGCGTTATTAGGGTCGGTTGGATTCCGCCCCATACCCCCGTTGTTGTGAGGTTGTGAGGCGGCCACTAAGGTAGCTACCAGACAGTTCATAATTATAGTTATTGGGTATAAGCATTGTATAGTATAAAAGCACTGTATTAGTAATAAGGGCTGTTAAGGCAAGGTGCCAATGTATTGAAGCTAGATAAGGGCAAGGTGCCCAGTTCGAATTAAGTCTGAATTTTAACAGCCGGCCGTCGCAGCAACCGTGCGTTGCTGATCGACTGCTCAACACCGACTTCCAGAACGCAACTTCAGTTCGGCGGCGAAGAGCAAAAGCTCCGAGGTGAAATTGCTAAAGCTCGCGGTAAAGTTGAGCGGCCAGGAGGCAAGGGCACGGCTCGCTAGCGAGCGTGCCGGGACTTTTGGAGCGAACATCAGGGTGAGTAGACGTGTGACGAAAAGGTAGTGTATGATTGTACACACACATTCATGCGCGTCTGCTTCGTATTCATCAACAGCATTACGATTGCGATTGTATTGTTTTCTGTGCTACTATTTTAATACGGTTTTTTCTCATTAAGACTCAATTATTGGTGTGGCTGTTGACTTGAGGCGGTGGCAAGTGCTGTTGTCTGTCGCAAGTTCGAGCCCTACTGAGGAAACTATTTTTTTTTTGTGGCTGGTGTTGCTGTTGAGTAGAGACAGCGGCAAGTAGTGAACTTATTTTTAGAACTTATTTTTTTTTTTTAATTTATCTTTGGTACTACTAAAGCCAAAGAGCGCGTAACGCGAGCTGAATTTGGCGTTGGATTAAGGGGGTTCAGGGTATCCTGGGAGCTCGGGAGCTCCCGACCTTCTTACTTGTTATTTGTCGTAGCAGTCTGAATTCGTGAGGCGCTCTGATAATCGTCGTTCATAGGTTCTGTTGGCGTTTGTATTTTGATTTTGTATCTTTTCAATAATTTTTAAATTACACTCTGTTGAAAATAATTTTTGGTAGAGTTTTTTTTTAATTTCGTTAAACTATTACAAAAAGAGTTATTATTAAATAATTGGATAAGAACAAAAACGATGGAACGAAAAGCAATTTTAGGAAATTAATTTTAAGGAAATTAACACCTGCATAAGTATTTTTGAATACATATTGTGCTATTTATTATGGTTTATAAATATTTCCGTTGAAAGCAGAAGTCTTCTAGTTGATAATTCACTTATTTTTTTTACAGATCAACCAAATCAACAAATTTACAAAAAAGGGAGCAGCGAACGCTTTTTTTATGGTACTCTTTTTATGGTTGGGGAATGCCCACAGTTTTAACAATAATAACTGCTTCATTAAGTAAATCCGATGTTTTAAATGAAACTATCCGACCCATATTTGGACACGGCCGATGTTGGTTTACCTGTATGTTTTCAATCAATTTAAATTTTTTTTAAATTTCATTAAAAAATTAAATCTCTATTTTCAGATGATACAATTGGATTTGCTAGCTTGTTGTTTTTCTCTGGACCTCTCGGAATACTTTTTATCGTTAATCTCGTATTGTTTTTGTTAACGTTGAAATACTGCAACAAAGTAAAACGAGAAATATTTAGAATGCAAAGTTCAAACACTGAAAAACATACCTTAAGGAGTCGTTTTTTTATGGATAAAACGAGATTTATTATGAATACAAAACTTTGCTTTGTAATGGGAATTACATGGCTTTTGGAAATTGCAAGCATTTTGTTTTATGATCACAAAAAGAATTTCTTTTGGTCAATTAGTGATTCATTCAACGTCTTGCTGGGTGTTTTTGTTTTTATTATATTCGTTTTTAAAAAACGTGTATGGAAGGAAATCATGGTAAAACTAGGTAAGTGCATTATGCTTTGCTCGTATTACGCACACTGACCTTAGATATATTTAAGACCTTGTGCATGCTTGATGTTTTCTATTTCGCTTCTGCTTCCATTGCTCACAATTTTAAACCAAATGTTTAGATAGTTTTGGAAGGAATCTCTATTAGCTTTCTTAGCATGACAACTGATATTGTCGTTTGGAAAGCTTTTATTCTGCGCCACGCAAATTTGATCAAGGATTGTCAATGCGTGGCTGTATTTCCTACCGGATGGTCTTGTATTCGCTCATTATGTATTCCTTTTTAACAGCCATTTGAAAGATATATATATGAAGCTACTGATGAAGAAACGTTTAATTAATGGCTAGGCCGGACCAGCAATAAGTTTATTGAGGGTGCTAAGCAATTAAAATGTTAGAATAGCACTGTTTTTAGATAACAAAATAAGTAGGGGCCTTTGCAAAGTAAATTTATCTCATAAAAAGGCACACAACATTGTTAAGAAAGCAACGATTTGAAAAAGCTTATTAATTTTGTAAAATTCAAATTATTGTCAGCATTAGCGTTGACGTTTGGCAAGTCCATTGCAGGTACTTTTACCACATGATTAAATATACGAATTTATCAGTTATGAATAATCAGTCCTTGTTTATCATAGCTTGCCATTGAATTCTTAGGGACGAGTTCTTTTACTGAACCGCTCTTCGCAGTCTCTTTGAATTTGCAGAGCTTTTTAAACAAGTTAGTTGCGGAGTTAGTTTTGAGACGTGGCTATATGTCTGCATGTATATACATACATACAATTCTATGCCGAATTAATTTTTTCAGTAATGAAAAATATCGCTTTTATGAGAAAATATATCAATTGTTTAATATAATTTATTAAAAGTGGTTAAACAAAAAAAAAACTTGAAAATGGGAGAGGGAGGTAGTATTTTGATTTGAAAAATGGGAGCGGTAGTATGTTGCAGGTATATAAAGAAAATAAAGAAAAATACCCCCTTGTTTTAGATGACAAGTAAATGGGGGATGTGAAGTCCACTGAAATATTTCGTAATATTTGAAATGAGGTTTTTTTCTCTGGCTGGAAGGCCCATTAAAATGAGTCGGCTTTCCAAATTAGAATCCAAGTTGAATATGTATTGTGTAAAATGTAAATTATTTCTAATTCTTAAGCTACAAGCCTATGCTGACGTTCTTGAATCTTGGAATCTGAGTGGATTCGGGAGAGCAATCTATCAGACCTACAGACTTTGCATAAAATATTTTGCATACATTCATTGTCAAGGTGGAAAACAGAAAATATCGATTTTTACACCCTGAACCCATTAAAAATGGGTATAAGGGTATATTGTATATATAGAGTGTTAAGTAGTTAGGATAAAATGACAGTGATGGGAAATCACCGACCCGATGGGGAAATTTATAGCCTGTCCGGAAAGCTATGGCACCACTCATAGCTGGGAATGCTCAGTGAGTTCCCGAAGGTATCCTAAAAGCAACAGTTTTATTAGGGGTAGAGAAAGTTCGGTGGACTTACAAACTTTAATAATTTGTACAAAGTACACGTTAAGAATTGTCCACAGCGTAATCTGTTGTGAACGTCTAGACGGAACACCGACAATCAACTTATCTAGGAAGACAACACCGAGGATTACCCTACGGTTAAAGAAGGATGGCTACCGAAGATAGGGCTCTCAATTCAAAACTTGTAAGAATTTGCTTCTGAAATGATTCTATACGACTTTCACTAATATTATAGTGCGGAATCCAGATGCAAGACCAGTATTCAGTGATATGGCTAACAAGGGAGACGTAATGAAGTCTTGTTATGAAGGATCGATAACTTCCTTAAACCAACATTTAATAAATCCAAGTACACCTTTGGCCTCATTAACGATGGTATCTAAATGAAGATTAAAGCAGAGCTTATAGTCACAAAGAACGCCTAGTTAAAGAACCATCTTTAACTATTGCAATGGAGTATTGTCAATTGATAAGATTAGGTGTGGTACGATTAAAGGTTATAAAAATGCACTCTTAACAATTTAGATGCTATTGATTGGTCGAACACCAAAGTTGCATAGTGTTACAATCATATTGCAGACGAGATAATAAACTTCACATCGTCTGCATACATAAGTACATGGGCATATTATATAACATAGGGGAGAAAATTTTTAAAAAGAGTAGAGAATAAAGGTCCTAGCTTTTAAATAAGACATAATCCAATGCATAAGAGGCACAGGGAATCCCAAACGATCAATTTTTAGGAGTAAAAGATAATGGTATAAATGACATCAGTTTGCATTGTATAAAGGAAATCTTCATTTACGAAGGATGCAAATTCAAGCAGATTAGTCGTAGTTGACGGATTCTTTACGAACCCGTGTTTAACAGGACAGACAATTGATTTGCAGAAATGCTACAAATTCGAAGTAAATATTTTTGTAAATAATTTAGGGATATCGGACAGTATTGCAATATTTCTGAGATTTAAAAATGAATGATATAAGATTATTTCCAAAGAGATGGAAAGAAAGAAAGAATGGATTGATTATAAGCAATGGACAAAGAAGAGAAGAACTACACTCCTTGAGTAGACAAGCAATATGTCAGGCCCAGGGGAGTAAGAAGTCTTTTAAGAATTTAAAGCAGAAAGGAGGGGATGAACACAGTTTTCATTTTAACTACCACGAAAATATCATTATATGTTTCAATTTCCACAACATATCGGAGTTAATTTTTTCAAATGTAATGCAATTTTATTCAAAACACAAATTTTATAGAAGTTAACCAATATGTTTTACGATGTCACGGCAGCCAGAACATCAAAAATAACCTTGTATTATTTTGGTAACCATTTTTATGCGAATGAAAATGTATTTATGGTAAAAAATTAAGAATTAGAGACTGTATAATGTCTAGTAAATATTTCCTTCCGGCAATTTCCTTTTTTCTAATTTTCGTAACAGTCGAAGAAATTCAATATTTTGTATAAAAAGTTTGCCTATATTGTGCAAAAAAAAGTGCAAAAGTTGAAAAACGAAAAAGTACACAACTAAATCAATACATTTTATATTATTTTCGAAAGTTTAATTTTATTCGAAAATTTTTATTTATTTTTTGTTATATAAAGTATATTATAGTATAGTGTAGTATAGTAGTTACAAATCCCCATGCATATAAACTTATGTGGTGCATTTATAATATTCTGTTTATAGTCTTTCCATTGCCAAGAAAAGCCTATAGTCAACTGATAAATTTTTATATTTTTAAGGTTTTCGGCCCATGAGCGAGCTAAGAAGAAGTGGAAATGCAACATCTTTAACACAATCAACATGTGTAGCTCAAAGTATATCGCTGAAAAAACTTGGCGGTGGTAACGGTGATACGCCCCTCATCAGAAGAACGCCTTTGTAGCATATAAGTCCTACGCTCTCCGTGAGAAAAATTAAGCTGATTCATGATAAATATATATTAAACGTATGCAGAATTCAATAAAACTCAAACAAATTTAAAACAAAAGTTATATTATAATAAAACATACAATTAAGAATATTGCAGTCGGCTGCAACACAAAATATAGATGGCAAAAAAAATGTTGCCATTAATTTATCCCACATAGACCTCGTTTTTGCTCGGGTCCGTAACTCGCCCACTTGCTCAGGGACCAGTTGTGTAGAACGGCTTCACTGGTGATTGTTTTGCTTACACTACAGGATACTGCTTTGGCTGACTCTCAGTGCTCTCAATGATTCCGGACCCGAGCGATGACGAAGTAATGATGTAAGTGCTTCCCACTTTTTTTCTAGCTGTCCCATCTATGTATTGCCGTATACTTACAGCCGTGGAAGAAATTAAAAAAGTCTACCAGCCAAGTTTATAATGCCTTCAGTGGACCACTGGGTCACTGAACCCATTGAAAATGGGTAACAAGAGTATTATGTATTTGTGCAAATGTATGTAACAGGCAGAAGGGAGCATCTGCGACCCCATAAAGTATGTATATTCTTGACCAGCATCAATAACCAAGTCAATCTACCCATGTCCGTCTGTCTGTCCGTATGTATGAACGCAAGGAACCTATAAGAGCTAGAGACTTGAAATTAACTGTAGGTAATCGTAGTGCCTGCGCAGATTGAGTTTGTTTCTGATAATCGATAACTTACTACGTTTCAAAGCAATCGATAAAAATAGATATCGACATCCTGTTATTTAAGCAAATTATGTATGTATTAACAGCTAGAGTCACCAAACTCGATATGTTGCTTCTAGAATATTTTATATATATTAGGTATATTTCGTTTTTTACATATCGCAACCTCCCTGCTACCATCGCAGAGCTATAAATCAGGTTAATAACCCAACTTGTACTGCCCACAATTTTAATGCAATTGACTTTTTGAGAATACACAAATATTCTATGGCACAATAAAATGTACTCTAGAAAATTTCATCAAGATCGGTTAAGAAACACACGTTATTAACGAAAACGGGCTTTGACTTTCCTCGTATCAGTGTCAGCAGGCACCAATTCCAAGAACTTCTGTATACATGTACACACACATCATGCGTGACTGCTTCGAATTCTATCAACAGCTTGCAATTGCGATTTTGTGCTGCTATTTTCATTCGTTTTTTGCTCATTAATACTTAATTTTGTGTGTGGCTGTTGAGTAGAGGTATAGCAAGTGGTGCGGTCTGTTGCGAGTTCATGCCCTACCGAGGAAGCTGTTTTATGTTTTTTTGGCTGGTGTAACTGTTGAGTTCGAACCCTGGCAGGGGAATTTTTTTTTATTTATCTTTATTACAACAAATGAGCGCGTTGCGCGAACTGCATTTGGTGTTGGAATAAGAGGGTTCAGGGTATTCCCCCTAGGGAGCTCCCGACTAGAACCTCTTGCCTGTTTTGTTTACTTTGGGGACCTATTTTGCTTAAAATAAAAATAAAAAAATCTAAGTCGCATTTCTGCACGGGCAATTTATCGTCGGCTTGTCGAAGTATTTTAAGAAAATACCAAAAATTGACAATGTTTAATTTTTCGATTTGCTGGTGCAGCAAACAAGCTGTGCACTTGCTGGTGCACAATCGGGCAGGCAGGCTGGCAACCAACATGCACACAAGCGCATAAATTCTTCCATCCATATATGTAGAAAAGTGTGTAAGTGTGCTTGGTTGTCCGGCCCAAAAAGTTAACAAGCACACATGCCAACGTTCATTGTAATGGTAAGGGTATCCCCTTACAAAAAGCATGGAAAATAGCAATTTTACGCATGAACAGGCCAAACCCTTTAATAATATCACAGAACTGATTACTCGAAAGAGTGTACGGGTCTCAAGCAGCAAGTCGCAAAAATTGAACATTGTCAATTTGTGGTCTTACAATTTTCTTAAAATTCTTCGACAAGCCGACGATGAAGTGCCCTTGCAGAAATTCAACTTAGTTTTTTTTTTTGTTCAGCATAATAGGTCCCCACAGTAAACAAAAAAATTATACTATAAAATATAAATATTTCATTAAAGTCATTTAAGTTTTTATTAAATAAAAATATACCAGATTCTTAACTTTATGCCTGACTGCACGAAGAAATACACGATAGAGTGTTTGAATGCCTTTTGCCTCTGGCTTGCGACAAACGCCGTGATCTATTAGTGCGTACATCCACACAACACAAACATATGAATGTTTGTAGATGTCGGGGTTTTGTGGAAAGCTATGCTATGGGAGAAAGAGATGCACATAAGTGCGCAATGAGCAATAAGCGAGAGCGAGGCACACTCTGCACATGCATAAACACTCTATCTGGGCACACTAAAATAGTCGCCCGGGGTGCCCGACTTGAAATACCCTGAACACAAGTACAAGATCACAAAACTTCTTTTAAATATAAATGTAGGTAATATATTTATTTATTTATATTCATCAAATAATTCTTAAGTTTAAGCTTAACATATTTTAATTATATAAACCTATAAATAGAAATTTAATTTACCCTATTCTGAACATTTAAAGAGGTGCCATTGTGGTAACTATACACTGTCTCGAGTGTCCTAGCACTTACTTCCTCACTGGAGAGATTTGAAAAAGCCTAACCAATGTGACAGTTGCTATTGGTAGTGGGCGTTTTTAAATCTAATGGGAACCTAAAGAGGCCTACATCTATCAAATTTGCTCAAGGATAAATTGAAGTCTCTTAAAATAATACACCTCTGCCTTAGAAATGAATTTTGCTGGAATAAATCCTCAAATTCTGTTTTAAACAAACCAAGCGGATACGACCGACTTATTTAAATAAAAACGACTGACCCAGATATTTTCCTACTGCTTAAGTACAACTTTGCTATACGGACATCCATGGTCTTTGTGTATAGTTATACTTTTTGCAGGTACAGAAACTTGTTCATTTCTTCTATATTAAAAACTTTTTACTATTTTCCGAATTGAGGTCTAGAAATCTTCTGTACTGTGCTTTAATAAAATCAGCAGCGGTAGAAATAAATTGATCAGTCGGAATTAGGTCCAGCTTTATCGTATTATAACTATCTTTCGCCGCACTTGTACTAAATAGATGAATGGTATCATCAGGCACATCCGATTGCTGACAAATGAGGGATCGGACAAGGCTAATGTCATGGGCGGCCATATTTCCCGATGCCAGTTTATTTAAAGCAGAAGTAAACGATTATTCCTCCCGTTGTCACATAATTTCTGTGAGCTCAAATTACTTGAAAAGATCCCACAGCATTGAAGCATAAATTGCACTGTAGGGATCATTAGAGTTGGATTCGAATATCCATAGGTTACCTACTGGTAACAACTGTCGTAGCTCCCGAAAACTATGACAGAAATTCCACCGAATTGAGAAGTATTTTTAAAAGTTTTTTTTAAGCGGGAGTCCAACTGCGAAAACATTTTGAAGCCTCCCATAGATATTACATCTATAATAATAAGTTTGAAAATTTATTTACCTTGAATGCAAAATATTTACTAAATCATTACTTAAAGCTCTTAAATCGGAACCAGATTGAATAACTGGTAAGGAAAACATGAAATGCAGTGTTGAGCCACTGATTCCGAAAGCAGCTTTACCTTTTGGAGCACACAATAGTATTTTAGGAGAAGTTGGATCACTTCCTGGCCTCATATCGTACATTACTGACAAAGATTGAAAAAGGGCTATCGAGAATATAGACTCTCGTAATTTCCATTAATGTTTAAGACCTTTAAATGAGGATTTTTTTCTGGCAATCATAATATGCGATATCTATCTATCTACTACTTCTTGATTTTGCCTGCCCTGAATTTTCAAGAGCAGAAGCTCCCTGTCATCTAAGCTATTATATTTCCTGCGATTGCTCGATTTACTCCTGATGCTGAATGCAAAACGATTCGCAGTCTCTTACTAATATTTCTACATTTTCATCCCACCATGGGACATACAACATAACTAATTCTCGAAAATAATTTCTCCTATCAGTACTAATATTAAATCTCCTATACCTAATTATAGCATGAGTGTTCCTCTTCTTTATGAAGCCACTACCATTGCGAAGTACGTAAACTAATTGCTGGGAAGCCCTGGGTGCTTCGATTTCATCAGCATTATCTATATTTTAGCGAGTACCACTATGCCGAAAAAAAGTAACAAAATCAGCTAGGCATAAACTATCTACAGCGTCGGGAGGCTGAACATAATGGTCCATAAGTCCTATTTCCAATATTTCTTCTGAGTCATCGGGCAAGTTTTTTAACTGTTGCCTAGACTTCCTTAACCCAGCCCGATGCTCTGGTAATGAGGTATTAATAATAACCAGTGCTTTACCGATTTCGGACAAAAGCATACCTAAACAACAGCAACCGGCTGGATATCTATATTGACTTGCTGCAGTAGAAGAAGGTGAGTATTATAAGCGTCAAGCTTATTTGGGCTTCTTTATAACCATCCTGAGTGAATTTAGTTAGCACTCATAACTTAAGTTAATTTGATCGTGGGACAAAAAGTTATTGAAATCGCTAAGGTAATCTGTGGTTTCACGATCAAACGGATATTCTAAAACGCCCTGAATTTTTTCGAAATTTCTGCGATGCATATCTCTATTTTCAGCATCGTCTTCTAATATTACTATAATTTCTGTTTGGGGCATGGGAGGGTATGGAATACCAAATCTACATATATTTTGAGCCTTAACTTCTCGCCTACATGAGTGCCCGTGACTGTGAGTTTTGTACTTCAAAAATGGAGCTGCATCCGGGTTTTTTGTTTCGGTTGTGATAAATAGATCAATAAAGGACTTTACGGACAGAATGCTTGACTCATCAGCCAAGTCAATCTTCGGGGCATCTTTCACACAAAACATGCCACGACTGTGAGTTGAGTCTCTTTGCTGAAACTGAACTCTCCAATAATACTTTATAACTGTGTGACTACCAAAAACACCGCCTTCCTTTTTTATTATTTTTAAAACCTGTCTATAACAAAAATCAAAA